ATTGCCCTGTGCATCTGTCCACGCATCGCCCTGTGCATTGCCCTGAGTATCCATCCATGCATCCATCCGTGCATTGCCTTGTGCATTGCCCTGTGCATCCTTCCATGCATTGCCCTGTGCATCCTTCCATGCATCTGTCCATGCATCCGTCTATGCATTGCCCCATGCATCCGTCCATGCATCTGTCCATGTATCCGTCCATGCATTGCCCTGTGCATTGCCCTGAGTATCCATCCATGCATCCATCCGTGCATTGCCTTGTGCATTGCCCTGTGCATCCTTCCATGCATTGCCCTGTGCATCCTTCCATGCATCTGTCCATGCATCCGTCTATGCATTGCCCCATGCATCCGTCCATGCATCTGTCCATGCATCCATCTATGCAACACCCTGTGCATTGCCCTGTGCATCTGTCCATGCATTGCCCTGAGTATCCATCCATGCATCCATCCGTGCATTGCCTTGTGCATTGCCCTGTGCATCCTTCCATGCATTGCCCTGTGCATCCTTCCATGCATCTGTCCATGCATCCGTCTATGCATTGCCCCATGCATCCGTCCATGCATCTGTCCATGCATCCATCTATGCAACACCCTGTGCATTGCCCTGTGCATCTGTCCACGCATCGCCCTGTGCATTGCCCTGAGTATCCATCCATGCATCCATCCGTGCATTGCCTTGTGCATTGCCCTGTGCATCCTTCCATGCATTGCCCTGTGCATCCTTCCATGCATCTGTCCATGCATCCGTCTATGCATTGCCCCATGCATCCGTCCATGCATCTGTCCATGTATCCGTCCATGCATTGCCCTGTGCATTGCCCTGAGTATCCATCCATGCATCCATCCGTGCATTGCCTTGTGCATTGCCCTGTGCATCCTTCCATGCATTGCCCTGTGCATCCTTCCATGCATCTGTCCATGCATCCGTCTATGCATTGCCCCATGCATCCGTCCATGCATCTGTCCATGTATCCGTCCATGCATTGCCCTGTGCATTGCCCTGAGTATCCATCCATGCATCCATCCGTGCATTGCCTTGTGCATTGCCCTGTGCATCCTTCCATGCATTGCCTTGTGCATCCATCCATGCATCTGTTCATGCATCCGTCTATGCATTGCCCCATGCATCCGTCCATGCATCTGTCCATGCATCCATCTATGCAACACCCTGTGCATTGCCCTGTGCATCTGTCCATGCATCACCCTGTGCATTGCCCTGTGCATTGCCCTGTGCATCTGTCCACGCATCTCACTGTGCATTGCCCTGTGCATCTGTCCACGCATCGCCCTGTGCATTGCCCTGAGTATCCATCCATGCATCCATCCGTGCATTGCCTTGTGCATTGCCCTGTGCATCCTTCCATGCATTGCCCTGTGCATCCTTCCATGCATCTGTCCATGCATCCGTCTATGCATTGCCCCATGCATCCGTCCATGCATCTGTCCATGTATCCGTCCATGCATTGCCCTGTGCATTGCCCTGAGTATCCATCCATGCATCCATCCGTGCATTGCCTTGTGCATTGCCCTGTGCATCCTTCCATGCATTGCCCTGTGCATCCTTCCATGCATCTGTCCATGCATCCGTCTATGCATTGCCCCATGCATCCGTCCATGCATCTGTCCATGTATCCGTCCATGCATTGCCCTGTGCATTGCCCTGAGTATCCATCCATGCATCCATCCGTGCATTGCCTTGTGCATTGCCCTGTGCATCCTTCCATGCATTGCCCTGTGCATCCTTCCATGCATCTGTCCATGCATCCGTCTATGCATTGCCCCATGCATCCGTCCATGCATCTGTCCATGCATCCATCTATGCAACACCCTGTGCATTGCCCTGTGCATCTGTCCACGCATCGCCCTGTGCATTGCCCTGAGTATCCATCCATGCATCCATCCGTGCATCCATCCATGCATTGCCCTGTGCATCCTTCCATGCATTGCCCTGTGCATCCTTCCATGCATCTGTCCATGCATCCGTCCATGCATTGCCCCGTGCATCCGTCCATGCATCTGTTCATGCATCCATCTATGCATTGCCCCATGCATCCGTCCATGCATCTGTCCATGCATCCATCTATGCAACACCCTGTGCATTGCCCTGTGCATCTGTCCATGCATCCGTGCATGCATCCGTCCATGCAACACCCTGTGCATTGCCCCATGCATCCAGCCCCGGGCATTTGCACCCGTTGCAGAAGCCCGTTGCACGGCCCTGCACGCTCATGCCCATTGCACACGTGGGACCCATCCCTGTCCCCCTGCGGTGCTAATTAAGGGTGTCCTTAATTAATTAATCGACTCTCGGCCAATTAAGCCCCACCGCCTCCTAACGAGCGTTTAATTGGGCCACAGCCCTGCGGCCACCAAAGGCCTCCCCAAATCTGCTGCTTGGCCCTTAATTAGCGCCTTAATTGGCTCGTTATCACAATTAGCGCTAACGATGGGGCCTGGTGCCCCGGGATGTGGCCACAGGGGCCCTTGCACTGGTGCCCCTTGCACGCGCAGCCCCTTCGTGTTGCACACGCACACCGTGCAGCACGGCCTTGCACGCTCATGCACTCCTTATTGCACACCCCGCTGCGCAGCCGCTTGCACGCGCACGTATTGCACTGATCCCTGCACACGCACCCACTACACAGCCCCTTGCACACGCACCCCTTGCGCATGCACATATTGCACAGGCCCTTGCACAGGCACCATCCCTTGCACAGTCCCTTGCACATGCACGCCCTGCACATGCACCACACTACACAGCCCCTTGTACAAGCACCATCCCTTGCACATGCACGCCCTGCACATGCACCCTTTGCACACGCACAGTCCCTTGCACACACACCCCTTTGCACAGTCCCTTGCACACACACCCCTTGCATGTGCACGCCTTGTACATGCACCCCTTGCACACGCACCCACTACCCAGCCCCTTGCACGCCTCGCACAGCCCCTTGCACGCGCACCCCTCGCACGCACACCCCTTGCAC